TAGTAATACTATTATTCTATCTAGTATTATTTACGTTACCCTTAAATAATAATCATTATCTGTCTAGTATATCTTACTTTCCCTTAATTAGTAATCATTATCTATCTAGTATATCTTATTTCCCCTTGATTAGCAATCATTATCTACCTAGTATATCTTTTTTCCCCTTAATTAGTAATCATTATCTATCTAGTATATCTTATTTCCCCTTAATTAGTAATCATTATCTATCTAGTATATCTTATTTCCCCTTAATTAGTAATCATTATCTATCTAGTATATCTTATTTCCCCTTAATTAGTAATCATTATCTATCTAGTATATCTTATCTCCCCTTAATTAGTAATCATTATCTATCTAGTATATCTTATTTCCCCTTGATTAGCAATCATTATCTACCTAGTATATCTTTTTCCCCTTAATTAGTAATCATTATCTATCTAGTATATCTTATCTCCCCTTGATTAGTAATCATTATCTACCTAGTATATCTTTTTTCCACTTGGTTAGCAATCATTATCTACCTAGTATATCTTATTTCCCCTTAATTAGTATTCATTATCTATCTAGTTTACCTTATTTCCCCTTAATTAGTAATCATAATCTATCAAGTATATCTTATTTCCCCTTAACTAGTAATCATAATTAGTAGCAGCAGAAATGGTCCTCAACAAACGACAACATTTTTTATAAAAGTAAAAGCAATTTACTAAACTTTTATATATTAAGGGAGAAGCCATAACTGTGAGGGTTTAAAGCCTGTAATAAAATTAACAAAATTTACTTAAAATAAGTCTCGAGAGTACGAGAAATCAGAAATTACAGCAGAAAAATACCTAAATCTGATTTTTTAGTAGACTAAACCATGCATCTCGTATATTGAAATTATTTTAGAGGGGTAAGTGATTTTTGTGTAAACAAATAAATGTAACTTCTTTAAACTTAATATATTAGAAAGACATTACCTTTGGCGCTGGTTGAGCTCATTTTAGCGAGGTTTACCAACACCACTTTTAATGTGATAATCTAAAATGATTATTGGTATTGAAAAAAGCCCAAACAATACGTATATATAAATAAAAACAATATCACATTATCAAAAAACCTCCCCTTTAGAACATTGTATCTAATTTCGTTTGTTATCACACCTCACTTCTTATAACAGACTTAAATACAAGCAAACTTCAGATGTGCTATTTCAGTCCGAAATTAAAATATAATTCCATCTTACAAGTAAGAATTGAGTGTTTTTAAACTGTAGACAAAGGGGAGACTCGTATTATATAAACCTCTACAGGCCTAGATATAATAGTAAAGAATTTTCAAATACATCAGGAATAAATCTATCTTCATATATTAAAAAGATCAAATTGAATATATATATAAAGCTATTTATAGAATACATATATATACAAATACATTCAAAACTTCCTTCCGTCCACTTAGTACTACTGATAGTAGATATTTAAATTACTGAAATATACAGCTGTTTTATATACATCAACACATCGATTTAAAGAACAATATTGATATTTTATAGATATATTTCATTTTTTTTAACTTTCTCACAGAGATTGACTGTCATGGGAGATTACACTGAATTATTAAAGTAACCTGAATAAGTATTATAAACTGAAAACATCGTTCATTACGGTTAAGGTGTTTAGCATGTTAAATATATAAATCCAGCTTGTCTTCGATCCTCCAAATTTTATACAATTTTACTGAAAAAAGTAAAAGAGGCATCACTATCTGTACTATTTATCTTTTTTTGTAAAATGTGTTAAGTTATATTATATTCAATAAAAACATGTCTTTACATCTATTGGATTTATTAATATTTAAACCATAAAAATTCGGAAGAAAAATCATTTAATCAACTGGAACGAAGTTTCCTGTTTTCTAGATTGGGCGATGTTTGAGTTCAAAGAGTTAACAAACATTATTCAAAAGTGAATGATTAGACTAGAAGTTTTACTTTACACCCAGTCGGTAATTCCAGGTTTGGTTTTTAGGTTCATAATCGCTGAATCCGCATTTATTCATCTTAAACTACACCCAGTCGGTAATTCCAGGTTTGGTTTTTAGGTTCATAATCGCTGAATCCGCATTTATTCATCTTAAACTACACCCAGTCGGTAATTCCAGGTTTGGTTTTTAGGTTCATAATCGCTGAATCCGCATTTATTCATCTTAAACTACACCCAGTCGGTAATTCCAGGTTTGGTTTTTAGGTTCATAATCGCTGAATCCATATTTATTCATCTTAAACTCTTTTTGTTGTGCAAAGCTACACAATGATTTATCTGCATTCTGTCCATCACACGTATTGCTGAATCACCAGAGAATCTTAAACTTAATCTTAAGTATAACATTAAATTATTTCACGATATTTACAGTTCAGGATCTATTTCACCAATATTTATATTATTGATACAATGCACATAACGTTTTCGAAAAAAAAAACATAAACAAGATAATCATTTTTTTAATCTTACTGATCAAAAATATTACAAATTAAAACTTAAAATACTGATTGATTGAAGTACTGTGTCTAAAAAAATGTATCTAAACAATAATATGTTCTGTTTAAATATAGTTTTAATTCTGACACTTATTGGTTAAAATGCACCATTTGATTAGGGTGTTGAATTTTTGACAAATTGCTGGATTATTCCTACATATTATTATAACATCGTTTTGTTGATTTGTAAATGTACATATGTTGAAGCTTCAACTATTGCGTATGCGTATATATGACTTATCAATATTTGCTATTCTTACTGAACATGAAAAATGTGACTTAAAATACAAGAAATAATTAAGTTAAAATACCAATCTTTTAAATTTCATTGTTAACTTGTTTTGATATCTCAGACTAATCGCAATGTTGTTAGGCCCCAAACATTTTCTTCACGGTGTAGCCCGGCATCGAGTAGACGAAGAGAGCGAAAATGAGGATCAAAAGAAAAGAGATGATGACTTTGATAATGACCCACTTGTAGTTATGCCATACAATGTATCTTATAGACTTCAGAGGATTCAAGAACCAAATGAACGACGAATCCGGTCGACTGAAAAAGATGGATAAAAGACGTTCAGCGTCAATATCTGTTTATGTTTATAATACACTGCTAAAAAAATACAAAAAAGAATAATTGGAATGTGTGATATTGCTGCGCTAAGCCAGAAACCACTTGTCAAAAATCAATTATCCCCTCATTTCAATGTTACGAAGATAAAACATCCTGTGATCAGTCGTGTGAACTAAAAGTTAAGTGATTGATTATTCATCCTATACTGGTCTCGTACAATGTTGTATTACTCAGGAGGCCAATTAATTACTTAAGGTTATTGGGAACTTGCTCCAGCTGTCTCAAAGTGTTGTTAAGAGAATATGGAACTGCTACCAAATCAATGGTACAGGTGTTCAGACATCTGGGCAAGGCCAACTATTATCCATGACACAAGCAGACGGATGCAGTATGTCAATTCTGGCTGGCTGCAAATCGGAGGGTGCAGGCTTCGAGATTGAAAAAGATGTTTGCAGGTGCAAGTGGACAACGCGAAAGTGTTGGATTTCGAAAGGCCGCCTGTATGCCAGTCGACTCATGAAATGCATTCCACTCACAATATAGTAAATAAACTGCTCTTCTGAAATGGTGTCAATGGGTCAACGACATACGCAGCACACATCTTCATCTTGCTTCATCCAACAACAACAAACTTGCACTCATTTAGAGAGAACTTAGAACCAGATCCATTCTACTTTCATAAAGAAATATAACACATATGGCAATGGTGAGGTGGGGTGTGGGCAAAAATTGTTATTGATGAATGTACTGACGAATACATTTGGGGTGTGAGCAAGAATCATTATTGCTGAAGGAACTGACCATTATAGTGCGCATTATAGTGACCAAATTCTTAAACTTTCTGTACTACCGTATGTTGGTACAATCGATCCTTACTTTAGCCCCTCATGACCAACGATGCTACATTGGTCGACTTCACTTCCAACTCTTTAGAGGATAACTCAGTTTCTTACCAAGTATTTTAAGCATGGAACAGGTCGCTACTGTTTTCTTGATGAGCTTATCCCTTATTGCAATAAATGTTTCATGAACTGAAAAGATGTAAAACTACATTAGTAAATATTCACTTATGAGCATAGGCTGAACGACCAATCATTTCCATTTTAGATCACACAACTGATAATCGTATTCCTGGATTACATAAATATTAACTGGTGCGTTGATTGAAATTATCTAATAAGAGAGATTTTTTCCATATTGTAGCTATGATATTACAAATCCTGAGTATCTTTTAATTGTTTGAAACGAATAATTAAGAAAATGCGTAGGGAGAAAAAGTAGATAAATTACAAACCGTTCTGATTATCAGATTTCTTGTTTTTGAAGTTACAAAAACAAATAAATGCAAAAAGTAATTGAAAAATATAAACAAACATTCGGTTTAAATTACCCAAAGATGGCTCCCACTAACTTAGCATTTATTTATTTTTTTGTGTACTATGTAATGCAGATAATTCTAATACCATTCTAGTTTGGAAAAAATAACAAAAACATGACAGTTTGTACAAGCTAAGAACATTTTTATCCTTAAACTTTAAGCCTGTAGGAAATAGGCATGTAAAATCAAGAAATACGGTGAAATCGTTTCAAAAATATGTATTTTTATCAGTGGTTTTAACAAGATATTAAGTACGATAACAAAGTTTGGAGAATAATATTGATCAAAGTACAAATGTCAAGTTGAAATATTTCCGAAAGGACATTTTGGAGTCACATTGTTCAGTACATTGCTACAAAATGACTAAAGTATCGTAAAAGTTGATAATTTGTTTAAATGCCTCCTTTCTCATAATGAATAAATGATCACTTTGCCAAAGTTCTTCACTCTCTAAAGTACCCAAGATTTTGAGTAATTGATGTTAGAAATCCATAAGGAGTAAGAGAAATAAAAACATAAATAAAGCAAAAATTGAGTACCCTTTATTATATATACACAGCGTAGTCACAAGTAAATAGACACCACCTTTTC